CCCTTCCAATCCCTGACATTCTGTGATTCTGTGATTCATCTTTCCTTCTTTTTGGTATAGTCACTCCATTTGATTTTATTGCCTTTCTACAGCACTTAAAAACATGCAGATCCCCTGCTCTGAGGCAGCTCTGTCATGACTGCACACTTTTCTGTAGCTGTCCTGCAAGGACAAGCCTTGAAACTTGGTTATTTTAATCTCTACTCTTGGTATGTAGCTTTGGTTATTTATGAGCACCCCAAGTTTTCATTTTTTTTTGGTTATCTGTGGGTCCTTGTGTGTCTTCTTAGACCCAGGGGAGGGGGAGATATTTCCAAAATCTTTTTTAAAAGATTCAAAGCAAATTTCATGGTTGTTTCTCAGTTTAAAATATGTACCTGGTGTTGACAGATGATGCCTTGGGCAGAAAAGCATGTGCAGAGCTGTACTGAACGACTGCTCGACAGCTCGGAGTGGGGACGTGGGATGGACACGTGCAAATGTGCGTGTGGACAAGATAGAAATCGTGTGAATGAGCAGAAGGCAGAGAGCCCATTTCAGGTGGGCTTTGTTAGACTTACAGCTGATGGAGTTTATCACCCTGAATACAAGAGGATCGGTCAAGGAAAACTGATGATTTGGATGCAAGTGCATTTACCAGTGTGAGGAAGAAGGGAAATTCAAGCTGAATGTAAGGGAGCTGGTAAAGGAGAAACAGGATCAGTGAAGGCGACCTCAGATCTGCCTGCTGCTGAGTGCTGCTTGGCTAAGAGAGGGTCTCAAGTTAAATCTACAGAAAATTAAGGAGGGATTCTCTGCTCTGGGAAATGAGCAGCGTGTGTAGTGTGACATAAGAGATATCTGATCATCCATTATGGGCTCTCCCGTGTCACTTTGTCATTGAATGTTTTGTTTAGGCTGTTTCAGGACCTATTGCGTGTTCTGCTTCCTTTTTCACAGCATTAATACCAGTGTCAGTATCTTATCCATAGTATACTGCAGGTTGAGCAGTAAGCAGATGTCATGTCAGTGAATCTTGGCAGTTTGTTTCTTATTGCAAAATAAATGAGTTTTAATGACTTCGTTTGCTTTTCTTTCATTTTACAGTTGAAAACGTGAATACATTTTTTTTGCAACTGCAACGAATTGAGCAGATTCAATTTCAGATCTAAAGTTAAATTCTCCTTGATTCATGTCTCAGCTGCTTTGCACATCTGCCTTTGAACTGTGAAACACATTTCACCTTTCAGTTGAGAGGACAAATGACTAATACATTAGTCCCTTAGGGAAGGGAGGTTTAACTTCTGTGTTTCAGTTTTTATGTTAATGGTGGCTGACCCCTGCTTCACTTTGTAGTCTTTAGAATGGGTCCTTTTCACAGGTTCTTGTAACTTCAGTTGGTTGAGGATCAGCTGGTCTAGGGAGTCCCTGCTTTTGGTGGACCTACCACGACAAAGAGGCGTGTGAGCTCCGCACGCAGGTGGCCGGTGACTGCAGCTGCTGGTGCTGGTGCTCGTGCCAATAGCAATAAATGAGCAAAGAAAGCTTGAGAAGGTCTTATCTGGCCTGACCTTCTGCACTTCTGGGTTTCATCCAGAGACTTCTGCAGTTGGCCAGTAATCCATGTTCCAAAACAATCTGACTTCAGTTAAAATTTTTTGAGGCTCTATCTTGTGTTCTGTTACATTGCTCTAGTAGTGCTGGTAGCAAGTAAAAATGCAACTGATGGAAATATTGACTCCAAGAATATCTTAGAACTTCCCTGGCTAAGGAGGACCTGCAGAATCTGGAGTGTATGTTGCATCCCAAAGCACGATCTTCTATCCTAAAGTTTTCTTCAGCAGATTTTTCCTTAATTAGCACTTGTTCCATTATAGTGGAGTGTTACCCTTTTCACAAGCAGGATTTCCAATTTCTGACGTTTTTTGCAAGAGCATGATGACTTCTTGGTTTGATTTACAGCTAATCTACTGTTCTAGACCTTCCCCATCCAATTTCCTATTTGTCTGTAATCTGATGTTCTCATACAAATCTGCACACAGAGGTACAGATGGACTTGCAATGGAACCTCTTGATTGCTTCTTTTTAATTAGCAAAGGACACTTTAATTAAAGGTCATAGCAATCGGAATGTGCACGAGAATGTTTGCTGAAAAGAGTATAAACATTTTATTATGATCTGCCAGCCTTAATAAGTATTTTGACTTTTAGAAAAGAAGAGACAAAAGAAAATGAAATCAACCGGTGACTGGAGGGAGAGAAGAAATGCCATTCGGCTTACCAACGAGTACACAGTAGAGACTCTGGTGGTGGCAGATGCTGATATGGTCCAATACCATGGTGCAGAGGCTGCCCAAAGATTCATCCTCACAGTGATGAACATGGTAAGTAGGCACTTTACTCTCCAAAGAAGAAGAGTAAACAGATCATATCCAGGATAGGTTAAAGCTGGCTTCCTTGACAGCTGAACTGGGTAACTGTTTTGACCGTGAGATATGAGGATAGGTTTTGTTTTTTCTTGTGTTATGTGCCTCTTTTCCCTCATCTTTGTGATTCCCTGTATTAGCCACAATAAAAAAAACTACTTTTGAAATGGAAATTGCAAGTTTTCAGTTAGGAAATATTCCATAATTGTTCAGGAGTGGTGTTTTCTACCATGTTTTTTGTACTGCTAAAGTTTACCTTGGAAGAGAGTATCCTGGAGTGGATAGATGGTCTTGTCTGACATGATGTTTCTTGGGTTCCTAAAGATTTCCATGGCATATCTGTTTCATAAGAGATATTGTCATAGTGGGCAAAATGTTATTGAAGATAGCAGTCATCTTGATTTCCATCAGAAAAGCTGCCTTTAAGTCAGTTAGAAACACTTTTTATCTCTGATTTTTAGATAATGAAAATGGCTGCCTGCCTTGCTGTAGAAAACATGGTGAACTTATCACCAAACTGCCAGCTGATCCGATTCTCTTTACCCCAGGACCTCTTGTGCTACATGAACCTCTGAATAGTTGATAGAGTTAGGCTTTATTCTAGAAATTCTGCAGAGAATCTGCCAGCAGTGAGGAGAGCCTTTGGAAATTGCAAGCTCCTATGGAGTGTGGGTGTTAATTTGTCAGCTGTCCCAGTAGTTAAGCCTTCCATCTCAGTTGATAAGGGGACACAAAGCCTCTCTCTCACCACGAGTGCTCAGTCACTCACTTGTTGGCAGTGCCAATAAAGAGATAATAGCTAAATTGGATGTGGACACTGAAAACTCTGCTCAAAGACGGCAGGGGTCCTTCCAGAGGCATTTGCACAAGGAAATCCTGGAGGAAGCTTGTGTTCCTCTGCCCATGCTATTGTAACATCCAGGAACAGTTCATTCTCCTGACCACTGCTCTGTTATTGTTCATGAGCAGCAAATTGGCTTGCAAGAAAATAACAGTTCTTAACAGGAGTTGGCTGGTCATGCTCCCCAGTGAAGAGCGGAGTGATGGATGCTCAGTCCATAATCCAGCTATGGGACAACAGCTCTTTAAGAGCTCTTGTATTCCTTTATCAAGCACTGGTGTGAGGGAGCCCTCCTGTAGTGAAATGCTTTGCTAATTAAGCAAGGAGTTTGTTTAACTAGTCCTTTCCATTAACAAGCTGCTTTTCTTTGTCTCTTCCTCTGCCTTTTATTTTGCCTTCTCTCATGCTGTGACAATAGTCACTTAATAGGGCTTCATTGTGTCTCTACCTTTATTTGGATGGGTTTGTAGGAAATGTCTTCTTACAACAAACCCATTCGTGCCACCATCACTTCAGGGTCTACTTACTGGCTCTCTTGCATTTAAGAATGCATTTGCTGGGGGCACAAGAGCCTTATTCTTCTCAAAGCCTCCACCTTTAGATTCACATACCAGCTTTGCAGTGAGCAGGCAGGATGTAAGGCAGGTTCAGCTCTGACCAAATCTGCTTCTCAAGTCACTTTTTGAACTAACAGAAGTGCGTGTGCAGATGTAACGTGTGTCAAGGCTGAGTTTCTTCCTGATGTCTGATGTTTGGGACCCTGAGAGGGGTGATGGATGCTTTTTTGTTTGCAGTGGCATCCTAGGGGCCCTCCTAAAATCTGTTCTGTACTGCTTCATCAGTGAGATAAGAAAAACCTGCCACTGTGCCCCATAGTTCTGCTGGGGCTAGGACAGGGCTTTATGGCTGTGAGAGCTTTTAAAACACGTGTCTAATCATCTGTCTTGATGATCCAAGTGCCAAAAGGTCAATTATTTGAGTGTTGCCACTAATGCCTCTCTATGTTGTGTAGCTTTATCAGCCTTTGAAGGTTGTTAGGGTTGAGCACGCTGATAGACCAAGTCCTAAACAAAAGATGGCCGTGAATACTGTTGTCTGTCCAGGCTGAGGAGCACTGCAGAACATCTCAGCAACATCAGCTTGCTGGGTGTGAATATATATGTATGAAGACACGCTGGTAGATGGGTTGGGTTCTCCAAACCCATATACTAAACAGATAATGAAGCTGAGTTTCCAATAAATTTCACTGATGGACTTTTAAGCTGGGTTCTGATGCTGTGGTGTGAGCTCACCCCTTTATTAGACACTAGAGAGTGCACATGGAAGATGAGTCTTGGCTGAGGAACACATTTATCTGACATCTCTGAAGGTGCAAAGTCCAACTGAAATGCTTCCCACTGTTAAGTCATTGCTCTGAGGGGCTCACCCATGTGGATTTTCTGAAGCCTGATAGGATTTGAATTTTTTTCAGCCTTCAGAGGAGCACCGACAGAGTTTCTCTCCTTTGGCCACCTACATTCCCACAGTCATAGGAACTTGACATCTTTCAGGCCTTTGCCCCTGTGAGGACATTGATTGTGAGTGGCTGGCAAGGTCAGAAAATTCAGACACTGGAACAGGTTGCCCAGAGAAGCTGTGGCTGTTCCTCCCTGGAAGTGTTTAAGGCCAGGCTGGATGAGGCTTTGAGCAACCTGGTCTAGTGGAAGGTGTCCCTGCTGATGGCAGGGGGGTTGGGACTGGATGATCTTTAAGGTCCCTTCCAACCCAAACCATTCTATGATTCTATGATTTCATTTTAACTGTGCAGTCACACCAGTGTTGGTGTGGACCAGGAAAATATCAAGGGGATAAAAAAAAATTATATTACCTGATAATCTGAGTGCTAAACCTAAGTTGTAAACAAAGCTTTTGTTCAAACTATGTTGTTACAGTGACATGGTGAGGATTTTTATTAGGAGAAGTGCAGGAAATTGAAGTTGATAGTTTTTCAGATACTAGAATGTAATATCTTTGTGATTATGATTTCTGTTACTGCAGGTGATGGTATTTCTCTGGTTTTGGGCACTGGGAAACTAACTAAATATTGCAGTGGACACCATTATTAGTGCTTTCTGACTGCTGTATCTCTAATTTATTGTAATTTTCATTTATGTTAATATACCATTCCTTAACTGACAGTACTACCAAAGAGCAGTGTCTTTTGGTTGCTATTTATAAGTTTTCTGGCAAAGAGTGTGTGGCTATCTTTTAAATACAGCTTAAAACTGTGGTATGAGGAACAGCAGAACTCTTAACTCCTTAGGGCAACATCTGTTCCATCCTTCCCTGGTGCAGGATCACTTGTGCTCTACGTAACCACGCACATGAAACCTCCTGGCTGCTTGGGATCTTTGTTTCCTGCCTTCCTCCAAGTGACTTCTGTCAGCTTTCTGTCCCTGTTAAGTTGGGGGACAGGATTTGCCCCATGATATTAGGCAGTGCTTATTCAGCTACACTGCAGGATGGCGGGCTGCCTCTAAAAGAAACCAGAATGTTAATTTTGGCTTGGATACTTGCATTTAAGCAAATAGAACATTACTGGTCAGGGGTATATTAACTTAACTCCTCTCTGTAAGCCATTACGTTTACTGTCAAACCACAAAACAAGCATTAAAAGGTCTTATTAATGCATTTTATATTTATAGACATTTTAAATAAAGTGATCTGCCTTAAAGTATTTAATATCTATTTATGTTACAAGAATTTCTGAAGGGGGGGAAAAAGTCAGCATTACAAAATAGTGTTTTATTGCTCCCTTGGTAAATGAGAATCTTAAGGGGGGGGGAAAAATGCCCACAACCCTCCTCTAGAATAACAGCTGAGAAACACAGCAAACCCCTTTTGTAACCCAGAAATAACGGGTGATACTTCAGATAGCAAATGCTGTGTTTTTAACAACATTGTGTAGGTCTGACCATCCCATTGAAGAGAGGATGGACTCACATTAAAGGTACTTTGTTTTTTCTGAATGTCGTTGCAGAGTTGCAAGCTCTTCTGTTTACTAAACTAATATTTAAAGTTGTAACACAGATTTTTTTCCAAGATCATGGAAGAATTTCCCTCTAAGGTACTCTGTAATGTATGAGTAGGAACAAACATGGCTCCAGGGCTTTGAGTTGACTTTCTTTAAGTCACCAACTCTGAAATGAAATATTTTCTTGTTTTCTGTCAAGGTAATTGATTCAGCACGATTTTCCTAATGGGCAACTCCTGATGGCTTTGTGATAGTGTTAAAAAATAAACTGATAAAGAAGTTGTCAAATGTCACCATGTACATCTGTAGCCTTGGCGAGACAGTGACTTTGTGGGCATGCTGGATGTGAGGACATGGAGAGGGAGAGATATCAGCAGAATTATATAACTGCAAAACCATCTCCTTAAACAGAGCTGCCAATTTATTTTTCCAAGTTAAACTCCCTTGTTATGAAGCTTCTGCACGGAGATGCAGTGTTTGCATTTCAGTTCTTGTCTCCCCTTTGAGTCCTTTGGCTTGAACACCCTTCTTCAGTAGCTGACAGTGTTTAGAACTTCCCCTGAATTCCAAACCAAAGTGCCTTTGTGGTAGAACGTGCTTATTTTGCTCACCCATTCTGTCAGTCTGCCTCTAGCAACTATAATTTCTCATTGCATTTCATCCACGTTGAGGCTGTTTGGATGGATGTTCTGTTTCTTATCAAGTCTGGTGTTGCTCTTACACACTGGCCCAGGTTGCCCAAGGAAGTTGTGGATTCCTCCTCCCTGGAAGTGTTTAAGGCCAGGCTGGATGAGGCTTTGAGCAACCTGGTCTAGTGGAAGGTGTCCCTGCTGATGGCAGGGGGGTTGGAACTGGATGATCTTTAAGGTCCCTTCCAACCCAAACCAGTCTGGGATTCTTACAACACTTCATGGCATCATCTAAATGGAACTTCAGGTTTTTCAGCCAACAACTAGGAGACCAGTGCATTGACTTTCTCTTTTCCTCTTCCTTGTGTATCTATGGACAAGAGCTGCCGTTCTGTGCTTGGTGCAGGAGCAGATTCTGAAGCATGAGGCATGCTCTGCTTTCTTGTAGGAGTTTTATGCTTTTATTTTCTCTTTT